ATAACGAATAAATAGGCCTATACGAGAAACATATTTTTACTTAAATTAAGAAAATGAAAGAAAAACTGTGCAACAAGTGGCCTAGTATTCAGAGTTTCGGTTCATTTTTGTGCTGCGCGAAAGGAAACAGACGGCAGAAAGCGGCATCCTATTTTTCTTTAGGCTTATTTTACAAAAGCACAAAGATTTGTTTTTATTGTGAATGTACACAAATAAAGGCAAACCTTTTACAATTCCGATTATCTTTAGGACTAAAAGGAGTAGTTGCTTCCACAAAACTCAAGTGATTGCGCCAGCGCCGCATGCGCACACACAGTTAAGCATTGCTACCTTGATAATGCAGCCTGTTCATTATCATAATAAAATAGTCAAACATATGGGGAAAAAACAATATGTAATAAAAAATATGTAGTAAAATCTGTGCTGTTAAGTGTTATCAAAGCACCGCCATGATGTTATGCAAAACATTTTGTTTTACGTGGATATTGGAACGCGAGTGAAGTAGGCTACATAAATAATAATTCGCCATTCAAATACATCGCGAATACGAAAACATTTGATTCTGTGCGAATGAATCGCTTTCGATTATGAACGCGATATTGCCTAGCTTGTCAGTGAACTACGGCTCTGTTTATTAAATGCCGCTCCATCTGAAAGCAGGTGATGGAGATTTACTACCAATCACGGAACCGGCTTTACTGATGAGACAATCGCATGTGATTAATTGCACAGCCCTATAATAAACCGTAATATTGTGAATTATTTCAGTTTAAAATAACTGTTTTCTGTTTTAATATATTTATTCCTGTGATGCTAAACTGAATTGCATCACAGGAATACATTTTTTTTTTGACATTTTGTTATGATATTTCATGATCTCTCAGAAATCATTCTAACATGCTGATTTGCTGCTCAAGAAACATTTCCTTTTGAATGAATGAATGTTGAAAACAGTTGTGCTGCTTAATGTTTTTAGTAGAAATCATTATATATATTGCAAATGCTGCTATATGAAATTTTTACCCAAATTTCACTCTACCACAATGAAAAACAGCATATATCTTAGCATATTATTGCAATATGTTTTTTCTTTTGAGGAAGTTTACATTTATTCATCTGTCAGATGCTTGAGGAAAGTTGTATGCAACACCACAGATGTTTAGTAAAGACATCAGCACAGTAACATCCAAAACACATATGCTAGTGACCAGCAAGTCTTTTCAAAAGAAGCATTTGATCAGATATGAAGAGATCACATTGGGTTTGCTCACCATTGGTGGACAGGAGGAAATAGGCGGCATTCTGTTGCGGCAGCCAGCGGATTTTGTTGATCTTCTCCTCAATCTCCAGGCTTTTCAAGTAGTCAAACTCGGGCTCGTGGCTCTGAAAGGTGCTGTAAACATTGTACTCCCCCCGACGGTGAGGCTGGTTCTTACTCTGCAATGATGTAAGTGTTTATGGTTCAAACCAAGACAAAAAAAATAGACCTTTATATTTAAAGGTCTGCCTATTTTTATAGTTTATTTCATGTATATCATGCACGACAAATGCATCCCACATTAGCAGAGGATCGCATTTACAATTCATACAGCACTCTACATTAAAATGCTTGAACTTAATTATACATATAGCACATAATTAGAGGCAGCACACAAATGATAATTGGAAATTTCAGCATAAACATTGGCTTATATAAAGTCCTTCTGTGTTAAAGTCACATATGGAATGTCTGTTGATTTTTTTCTTTGTTGCTGAAAGCCGTGAAATATAAGTGAGGCAGGTCAGGATCTCAATGCACAAAGGTGGTCTGGGTTAGAGGAGTATCTCAATACCGATCAGAGCGTGGAAACCTTCAGGGTCACTTCTCACATCTAAATCAATAAGCAGAACTCAGACAGACCGAGAGAGGACGAGGGTATTAATGGAAACAGATTTCCCCTCGGCGGGAGGGAGGGGGTTAAAGGGGGTCTGAAACAGAGTGGGGCGTGAATCATGGTGCGAGGATTAACAGACACCATGAAATCTCTTTAAAGATGATGCGAGTGTGAGATGAGGTGCGGACGGCGGGGTTTTCACACTTTTGTGCTGCTAGACAAAACATCGAGGGTTTTTTAGATCTGAAACAGTTCATGACCAACTCACAAAAACACAAATTTAGTCAATAGACTAGAGGATAAACTGTCAATTTAGGATGAGTATGTGTACTACCAAATTTACAACTGTATTCACAGTCCTACTATGGCAATGATATATTGGGTGTGAATTTACCCTATATTAGGCCTGGGCGATAAAACGGTATCGGTATTTATCGACGGTACACCTTCTTCGATAACGATATAAAAAATGTTCGATATAGTGCACGATACAGAGCTATGAGTGACGCAGACAGCACACACAAACACGAAGAGATTGTGAGTAAAGAATGAATTAGTCGAATTTAAAATAAACATTTGCATTTGAATGCAAAAATAGTACAATCCAATGTTAGGTGTGCGTCAGGGAGCGTCATCAGTGGCTCACGAGATGCGGTGATGATGATGTAAGTGACGTTGTAGTTTAATGTTTTGTTAGTCTAGCCCACGGGACGCGCCGCTGCTGCGTTATTCATTCAAAATATTAGAGAAATATAGAAGCTCAATGCGGAAACGATCTTGATTAGGTTAAAACCGAAACCAAGCCATTCACACAGAACGCACACATTTTTTAGACGGACAAATATGACTGCTGCACTCGCGTCTCACACAAGAGATGTATAGAAAGCCATGCAAAGTTAAAACAGTTTAAACTTTTAGAAAACACGTCGCAAATTTGTGGAGGTTTATTCCTTTTCACCGCGTCTCATGTTTTTAAATGCAATCTGCGTGATCGGCGATTCGGCTCTTTGTATTAAGCAATGCATAAATACGTGATGCTGTTTTGTTCATAATTGTTTATGCAATTTACGAAATCATATTTGATTTATATGAGTTAATTTAGACGTAATGCACGTTTTTTTATAGACTATTACTTCCTTGCGTTGAACATTTAAAATGCGCTGCATTAAGTTGCTCATTGCGCCCTCCTGTGACCTCGGGAGACAAGCCAAAAGTTTAACCTATTTAATCTGCATATAAAACATTCGAAATGAGATATTTAATTTTTATTTTGTTTTTGACTTGTTAAAACAAAAAATATTTGTTGTATGTCTCAATAAATGGGGTTAATTTAAATATACAGTGGTTAAATGTAAAAAATAATTTCTATTGCTCTTTGTTTTAAAAAAAGGTTATAAAAAAATTCAACAATTATCGATACCGAACGATATGAAACATTATATCGTTGATACATTTTTTTTAGCTATATCGCCCAGCCCTACCCTATATGCAATTTTACAGTATTTTTTACACTTTTTTTCATAAAAAACAGATATAAATGGTCATTTTGTACCCTGAATTTAGCCTCTGATTTGAACGCTCCATTGGAAGGGGCGTGTCTGTTGCGACTTCAATGTAAACGCCCACTGCTATGATTAGCTAAAATCTTTGCATATGAAATGAGCATTACATGTGAACTCCCTTGAAAACTGTGTTTTTACTATAACAACCACCAAGAATAACTGATAGTAAAAAAGTGTTGATTTTAGCATTACATTTAGATCTAGCAGCGTTGCACTGTAGCTGAACACCGTCACGTCTGCTGACCACACAATGCAATGAGTAAAAATACTTTCAACATAACTAACACACTTAAAATGTGATGTAAATTTATTAAATTAAATGTATGCATTTAGCAGACACTTTTATCCAAAGCGACTTACAGTTACAAGAATACATTTTTTATCAGTATGCGTGTTTCCTGAGAATTGAACCCACAACCTTTTGCGCTGCTAACGCAATGCTCTACCACTGAGCCACAGGAACATTATAAGTAAATAAGGACTCGTTGAGCAGTGTAAACTGACATTGATTATATGAGCCCATAATGTTTTTGCACCCAAAAAGGTCTTTCTTTATGTAACAGCAGTAACGCTCTTGTGATTGACAGACAAACGTGAGCTGTTCAGACTCGAGCCTCCTTGATTACATACATCGATGGCGCATGTTAAGGGGACTGTCAAGAGGAAAACATGACGTCACAATTCTCCCGATTTCAAATCTGGGACTTTCAGAATAATTCATATGTTAAACTGAGGAGTTTTGACTAACCTCTTATGTGTGCTAATATCAAGAACATTTTGATTCTCCATTTCATGACCCCATTAACATTCATATTCTGTAGTAGTACTACTCTTCAGATTTTGGAGAAGGCAATGTCTAAACCAGATTACCTCCTGTTCCCTCTGGAAGACCACCACTCGTCCACCTTGGTCCCCAGTGGCCAGGAGTTCTCCTGTTGAGTTGAACTCAACAGTGGATATGATGTCAGCTGTAAGAGATGCAAAGAAGACGATATATTAGAGCTTCAAGAATTTCCATTTAATAATCTACATTGAGACAATGAGATGTTATTTTATTTTATAAATATTTTGATGTATTTATGATATCTCTGAAGCATGTTTTTGCTTTAAACGGTAAACCTCTGTTGTTAAAGCTTTATTAATTCCTTTGATTACTACCACTTTTGATCATTTGTATGAAATCATAAAACAGAATATAGAAAAATTATTTGTTACATTTTGTTGTGAATTCAAATAAACCATTCAATAGAATGCATAAAAAAATGAAACAAAAAACACAGAATTTGGGAAAAAATAAAACAGATTTCACCTAGACAGTTCTGACCATCTCATGTCAAATGTGATGAACCACTTACGCACTCCTGATATGCTCTCCCTGTCTATCACCATTCCATTGATATGTAAATATCACCAGATATCACACACTACCATTATCCCACCAAATATCATCTTCAAAAGTCAGAAAGATCTGGAGACCTTTGAAAGGACATGTGAAGCAAACACTGAGAAATTCTAGGCTGACAGAGATCGTACTGGACAAGCAGCAGATATCATCATGGCCTAACATAACACTCTCCCTGGGATGAATGCATGACATCAGATACCAGGAGATTTCAGGCCATGACCATCAACTTCAATTCAAGATGCACTTGTATGAAAAAAATCCCCTGTGCATGTTTATGAAGGACATCATCAAAGAGTAGGCACACAAAGGCATAAACTCTCACTCTGGTCTGCATACAAAAAACACAGATAAGATGATGGACTGACTGCTTTAAGACAGAGTGTACTGCATTTGGATCAGAATGAGTAAAGAAGCACTCTACACAGTAAAGACAAATACATCAGATTGTTATTAAATAAAATAATTAAAATATTTATATAATATAAATACATTTACATCTTGAAAATATGTATTTTCTATTAAGTAGACATAAATGTATCCAACTACAATTAGACAAATTTTAGATGTATAAACCTTTGAAATAAAAAAAAACGTACTTACTATAAACTAGACTGTCAATACAACACACTATCCATAATAAATGCCACGATCTTCGAAAGCATAATGAAACTAATAACATAATCCTGGGTAAATGGGGTAATAAAACAATTGTGTAAAACATGTTTTTTTTAATGTTTATCTTATCACATTAAAGGGATAGTTCACCCAAAAATGAAAATTCTTGAGTTTACTCACCCTCACGTAGTTCCAAACTGAACACAAAAGAAGATATGTTGAAGAATATTGGTAACCAAACAGTTGACGTTCCAAACAGCTATTGACTTTCATATTATGTAAAAAAAAATTAATACAAAGCTTTAGTAGTCAATGGCTAGCATCAACTGTTTGGAAATGTCATTTTTTGGGTAAAATATCCCTTTAACTTTGAGGATTCTAAATAATAATAATAATAATAATAATAATAATTGTAATACTATGTGGTTTCTAGGGTGCCCTGTGTGGTTGCTAAGTCCCACGTATTTAACATACTGTAAGTCTACAACCGTTTTATTATTCTTTAGGTAAAATTGTCAAATCATCTAGTAAAACCTACACTGTAAGAAGAAATCCGTAAAATTTACGGTAAAAAACCGGCAGCTGTGGTTACCGGAATTTTACCATAAAAAATACGGTAGCAACGTTTTAGGTTTTACGGTTTTAACTTAAATTTACAGTTAAATACCGTAATTTCATTAACTGATAAAATGTTATTATATACCAACCTATTGAAGCACTGACATCTGTTTTGTACCTTTGTAATACACTGATAACCACCACATGCAGGTGGTGATGAGAAAGTCACATGATGAACCAAAGCCCATCACAAGCAGCTTTTAAATAATAACATATATAGAAGGTGCACAGTGTCATTCACACAAACACTAAACA